GGGGGGGGATCACTGACCTGGTTGTGTGTTAGGCAGTAGTCCCTTCTTGGGTGGAGCCAGTGTTGTGTTGTACATGGCTGTATCTGAAAGACCAAATGACGCAGAGCTCATCAGAAAATGAACTGTTCATCAAAATTAGAAGGCCTCAAAACTGACTTTAATGGCTGCTTTTACCAGAATTTCCAAATTTTTGTGTGATCACATTTGTGTGAATGTAATTGTTTGATTTTATGGAGTTTCATAATTTGAGATTATATATATATATGTTTTTATTTATAGGGGCTAAAACATGGTTTGTTAACCAAAATAATGAATCTTCTGCAGCAGTTTTTCGACAGCAGGTGGCAGTGTGGGACTGCAATCAGCTGCACATGCTCCGCTGTTTTCCCTCATAACAATTAAGAACATAAGACTAAAGCAACGACGGACCACGTCTCCCTGTTTCATCCTTTCCCCTGTATTAAAGGTTGGTAATGTGTTACACCCTCACACACATTGCTGTAGTCTGTTTGCTACTGCTGAGAGATAAGTTTAGTTCAAATGAGAGATTAAAATAAGCAGGTTTCACTTTCATTATAGCGGTGCCCGCCCAGAGTAACTCTGTTACCCTGTGATAAGCATGAAAAGCATAAGATGGTAACTTGGGTCTATTTTGGGTTAGATTAACATACAGGTTGGCTCCATAAACAATTTGGCATGCTGTAATATATTTGAAACTGTGTTGATCAGTGAATTTAACGGTGCAGTACAATAATGACCAAAAGATATTGGAAGAGATTAATGTATATATGAAAATGAATGTGTGAAAATGTGTTTATTTGGGGTTTCATTGTATACATGTGATATGAACATGGAAAAGTGTGTCTATAGAGACCAGATCTGCAGTAAGGCTAAATACTGGTAAAATGTAACAAGGAAAATATAAATAATAAACAATAAATATTTAAATAAAGTTAACATTGGAGATTTCAGCAATGACAGCCCCACGTCTGTATATATATACACTGTTTAAGGGTGCTGCAGCGCTGTACCTGTAACATGTGCAGGAATAAATAAAGCTTAAAGTGTACAACTAGACATATTTGAATATTAAACTGTGATCTGTCTGCAATTACAGAGTATACACACAGTTCTTACCTGACTGGAAGGTGATCTCGCTGAACAACATCCAGGCATCAGCAAAGTAGAACTGGCACTTGATGGCGTTGGCCATGTGATTGAGCAGGTTGACGGTGACGAATCGGGCGCTGAGGTTCTTCTCGTCCACCACAGGGCTGAAGGAGAGCAGCGAGGCCTCCCAGTCTGCTTCGGAGCGGAAGTAACACACCACCTGGCGGAACACCTTGACGTGCCGTGAGAACATGTTGTTGCAGTGGATCTGGGTGCAGAAAAAGGGCACATGGGGAGACTTTTAGTACTATTGACTATTTAAATTTTAGCTCATATTATCAGGAGACTCACCTTCATGGTGGTGAAGTTTCGTGTGCGGTCAAACTCAAACATGATTTCAACATATCCACTGGGGAAGCTCTCATTGTTCCAACCTACGTAGTCATACCCGGGCCACACATTGTAGACGTGACTATGTGTAAAATCATCCAGACCACACACTCCATCAGTCAGCTGGCCCAAACCCTCTGTCATACTAAGAAACACAGAAAAAAACATCCATTATCTTCACAGTAGGCACTTATGTTAAAAAGTTTTTATGGTACAACAATTTAACACTAGGTGGCAGCATTGTAAAACCAATTCCCTCACTCCTGTTGCTGGCATATTGCGATAAGGCCATTTTCTTTTCCCTCTGCCTTGATAGAGAGAAAGAAGCCTGCCTGTGTCATGGAGGACATTATTCACCACGCCATAATCCAAACACTACTGTCAACAAAAGACTGATTGGTTCATTCCGGTTTTTAAACTTCATAAGCATGGTTGACTCAGTCATTCCCATGAGGTATTGCCTAACAGTAAACCACCATGACCCACTCACCACCGTCTGTCTCTTTGCTTTCACCATGGTGACCAGGCAACAACAAGGTGAGGGGAAAAAATACTGACGGAGGATGATAGCAATGATGAAGCAATGTGGTGGGGTTTGAAAAAGGAAGGAGGAAAGAATAATGAAACACACACACACCTGTGGATGACAGCTCCATCATAGACAGAGTCATTTAAATAAACAGGGTAAGCAGGCAAGTTCATCTGTTCTCCCACTGGAGCGTTGTATGACACAAGACCATCTGTAAGGCAAAGAACATTCATTTTTTAGATGATGTGCGAGTTCATCATTCAAAACTCAAGTTGTGCAGAAAAGCATAATTCAAAAAACACACGTTTTTATCAAATCATAATTGAGATTTTTAAGCAGTCAATACTTAAAAAATAACGCACAAGGCATGGGCAGAATGAAGTGCAGATGCAGAATATGCAGTATGTGAAATGTTTTATTAAAGGGCCTGGTGATTTTTTTAAATGGATATCAAATTTTGCCAGGTTTTCGTACTCAGAAGAAGCACATTTTTGTGCTTACACGCACCTGAAAAAATCTCCACATTCGGCTGTAAGAAACACCTAGCAGTGGAGGCACCTCAACCAAGCGTGTAGGATAAACTATGATGGCTGTGA